GAGTGAGTAAGGAGAGAAGAGGAGGACCATGCAGGGCCACGAGGCCATGCTTATACTTGGGGGCCACGGTAAAGACTCACAATGGGAAGATACAACGGAGGTGGCTTGTTAGAAACACTCTCTCCACTTAGCTCCCCACTTTATAGAGGAGAAAACCAAATTCTATGGAAGCGGTAGGATTTGCTCAAAGTTGCTAGCTAGAACCTCTAGAGAAAGTCAGAATGGAGATGAAGAATACATGATATATCCATTAGGATGCGTTGGGCTGCATGTCAGAGAAACTCTGGATTCGAAGAGGCTTCAATAAGAGGGAATTTAATTATTTCACATTACTGGAAGACCAGAGTTGTGAGAACCCCAGGCATAGATCCAAGAGTGGCTCAATAATGTTCCTTCCGTCCTTCCATCCGTCCTCTTCAGTGTGTAAATCAGGATGGGTTAGGATATGCTGCAGTAACAGACCCAATTCCAGTGGCTTTAAGGAGGAAAAAGTGTATTTTTACTCCACGTCCATGGCCGGGCACCATTTTTATTAACTAGGGGTCCGTCCCTACTGTCATCATTTATAGGCTGACAAAGCCACTCCCACATAGCACATTGCTGATCACATGCCAGTAGAAAATGGAAACTCTACAGTGTCTTGAAGTGGTGATTAAATGCTCTGGTTCTGAAATAACATACATCATTTCTGCCTACGATTTGTCGACCCTCCTACTCACAAATGGGCCAGGAATTGCCATTCTACTACATGCCTAGAAGGCGAAGAGAGGCAATAAGCAGCACTAATGACGATCGAAGTCAATACCAGCTTTGACTAAGGACGTTCCCCCCCCCCCCACACCTCCCTGTGAGGTCAGAACATTCACAGAAACAACACTTAAAAAAGTAGAGGTATGACCACTAATTTTCAGAGCAAGGAAAATTTCCCCAGACTCTTCCAACACTTCCCTCACTTTGTATTGGCCAGAAATGGATCATGTGCTCATTCTTAACCAATCACTGGACCCAGGGTAATGGGATTCTGCCGGTTGCCTTAGCCCAATTAGGATTTACCCTGGAAGAGCCAGAGAGATTGGGTCATGTTCTCTTGAGCCTATGATGGACTCTGAAAAACAAACTGAGGGTTCTAGAGGGGAGGGGGGTGGGAGGATGGGTTAGCCTGGTGATGGGTATTGAGGAGGGCACGTTCTGCATGGAGCACTGGGTGTTATGCACAAACAATGAATCATGGAACACTACATCAAAAACTAATGATGTAATGTATGGTGATTAACATAACAATAAAAAATTTTAAAAAAGATAACTCTTCTCTAAGCACTTTGCAGTAAGTTCAATCCACAAAGGAAGGACAGTTTCATCCTGTCAACAATTCAGGTATTGAAACCAGAAGGAGAAAGGAGAAAAATAGATGTTGGTAGACAAATGGGTATTGGTTGGTTGCCAACCAACCTGGTCAATGACAAAGGGCAAACCAGGAGGGCTAGAAGTGTCAATAAGAAATAGAATGTGGGGACGCCTGACTGGCTCAGTCAGATGAGCATGCGATTCTTGATCTCCCTGTGGTGAGTTCAAGCCCCACGTTGGGTGCAGAGATTACTAAAAAATAAATAAATAAAACTTAAAAAAATAAATATATAATGCACTGCAGTAAGGGTTGGAATGAATAACCTTGAAGATCCTGTCCAACTCTGAGATACCATTATTTTCTGTGGGTTTGCTGATGTTACCGTCTGTGAGTACAAGGGTTCAGAACACATTTGTCGGGGGGACCGTCTGAGAATCCAAGGCAATTTCTCTTACCCAGTACCACTGATCAAGTCTTGTTAGAGTCCCATATGAGGAAGACATGTTTCTACCCCTTGCTAGGAAGCTCTCAGATACGGAATCGGCAATTCTGGAGTAAGGAAGGGGAGGTGAAAGTTCAGAGGAGAGACGGCAGGAAATGACTTAGAAATGCACAGAGTTGCGTGCCTGGGTGGCCCAGTGGGTTGATTTCAGCTCGGGTCATGATCTCAGGGTCGAGCTTGAGATTCTCTCTCTCCCTCTCCCACTGCCCCTCCCCCTGTTCACATGCATGCGCTCTCCCTCTCCCTCTCTAAAATAAATAAAATCTTTACAAAAAATTGCACATAGTATAAAGCTCAAGAATGTTTTTATGATTTCCAGTAGTATACGCCTTATGTTAGGATTCCCAAACGTATATGCTTTTCTTGTCTATGCTCCTGAGCCTGAAGCCCTTGTGCTGAATAGTTCCACTCCGGGCTCTTAAAGGCATTTCAGCATGCCCATTGCTAATGCTGTCTTGAACCAGCTCTTTTGACTATGCTAATCATTCTCCACTATGGGCACTGACTACCAATACTCTACTTCGGCCCTTTGTCAACTTTTGCCTGGATCATCAGAACAGCTTCCAAATTGCTCTTCTCCCATGCCGTGTTGCTTATTCCAGTTGACTTAGAGAGCCAGAGAATGTGTAAATCTGACAGAGGCTTCCCCTTGAGTAAAACCCACCAATAGCTCTCCGTCAACCGCAGAATCGATTCAAGTTCTTTGGCAGGAGATACAATGCCCTTCTGCCAGCTTTATTTGGAAGACTCCCTCGGAGTCTCTGCTCAACTGCTGCACCTCTTGCTCACCCCCCCCCCCACCACCACTTTGCAACTTTCCGGTTTTGCTAATGATGTTCCCTCTGCTGCCAGTGTCCTTCCCCTCTGTTTGCTGTATTAATTCTTAATTATTCATTCAAGACTCTGCTCATTAACTCATGGAGAAAGCTGCCTTTGACCCCGACCTTGCCCCTCCAGGGCTAGGCTAGGAGCCCGACATCTGTGCTCTCCGAGCATTCTGTGCCCACCTTTATATGGGACGTGACCATGGACATGGTAAACATTTGTTTAGCTGTCTCCGGAGTGCTCTGCAAGCTTCCCTCCATGAGGAAGGGGACTGGCTTACTCATCCTTTATCCCAGCACTTACCAGTGCCTGGTGGACAGTAGGCGCTTCACAGGTGTCTACTGAACAGAAGCATTAAGAAGAGGGTGGCAGGTGAGATGCAGTGGAGAGAATGCAAGGAAGTGCAGAGGAAGAGGGAGGGAAGGCATCCCAGGATCTGCCTCTGGTGTCTTGGAATCTGGGCTCCAGCTCCAGTTTATCCATGATGGAATTCCAAGCAGAGGCTCTCTGCCTTTCTGGCATGGGGGATCCTCGGTTTGGATCAGGCACAAGTGGGACTTAATGGACACCCTTCCCACAGTCTCTCCTGCCCACACTCTGACAACTGCCCCTGCCTTCCACCTGAACACACTGCCACTGGCACAAAAGGCCAGGACACGCGGGCAGGATTTTGGCAGTGGCCCCTGCTTCTTGCTCTCATTTCCCCCATCTCCTCCATGGACGCATGCCAAAGATGATGATTAGAACTCCCTCTTGGGGTGGCCGCAAGGCTTAGAGTTAGACCCGGGAGGACTCCATTCCACAGATCCGATGAGCAAGCACACAGGAACACCTCCCTCTCTGCACCCCCCACCCCCACCCCTTCACCTACAGCAGAGGCATTTAAAGGTGAGTCTTAGAGGCTCGGGCAGCTTTTCTAACTCTGCCCCAATGCTCTGGAAAAAGCCCCGGGAGGAGGCAATACAAGGTGCCACCCAGCGCTGGGGTTGCCTTGCGCCTGTGTCCGTGTTGTCGGCGGGGTGGAGAGGAGAGTGCTCGAGGGGGACAGAGTGCAGGCCCAGCTCAGTGGCAGCCCTATAACCTCAGACAAGCCGCTTGACCCCTGGTCTCAGTTTAGGAACCTGTAGCAATGGGTTTGGCCTCCTGCCTCCGCTGCGAGCGTCGCCACTAGGGAGAGGCAAAGAATTGCAGATCCCCCAAGTCCCCGCTCAGGCGGCGCACGGTCCGGGGCTTGCGTAAGGTGGGACCCTCGCCGAGGGCCGGACGGAGCAGAGGCAGCGGAGGTCTGGCCCAGCCGCGGGCGGGCTCCAGAGGGGTCGCTCCCGCCCCGCTCCCGGCCCCCTCTCCGCCGCCGGGTTCGCCGTTTCCAAGAAGCGGAGTCTTGGGCTCGGGTGACGCGGAGCTTCAAGTGCCGCCGCGAGGGGGGAGCAGCGAAGAGGAGCCCCCCTCCCCCGGGCGCCCGGGCGTGTAAACGTGGGCGGCGGTGAGCGGCTGCCCTCCCCTCCCCTCCCCTCGCCTCCTCCCCTCCCCGCGCGGCGCTCCCGCGGGTGCGGGTGTGTGAGTGCGTGTGTCTCCCTCGCTCCCTCCCGCACGCGCTCCGGCACTAGTGCGGGCGGCCGGCCGGCGGCTCCCGGCTCGCTCGCTCCGGCCGCTGCGCTCCCCCCCCGGCCCCCCCCCCGCCGCCGCCGCCGCCTCTGCAGTCGCAGCCGGGCATGGTGAGTGAGTGAGGGCCGGCCGCCGCGCGCCCCCCGCCGCAGCCCGCTCCGTCCCGGGGACTCAGCCCGCGGCGGGAGCGCGCTGCGGGGTCGGTGGCCCGTGCGCCCTCGGTGGGTGGCCGGCGCGCGGCGCCGCCGGGCCCCGTCTCGCCCGGGCTCCGCGCCCCGCGGCCCCGAGCCCCGCTCCTCGAGGGCTGCGCGCTCCCGCCCCGCCCGCCCCGCCCCGCCCCGTGACCGGCTCCCCGTCTCGTCCCGCAGGACCCGCCCGGACGGGACCACGCCGCCGCCGCCGCCGCCGCCGCCGCCGCCCGGAGCCGCGCTTCGGGTCCCGCCTGAGCCGCGCCGCCGCCGGCGGGGGATGGGGCTGCCCGGGAGGCGCGCCGAGCCCGCAGGGGGAGCGCGGAGCCGGCGCGCAGCGTGAGCGCCCGAGCAGCCCGCGCCGGGCCGGTCCGTGCGCACCGCGCGCCGCCGCCGCCGCCGCCGCCGCCGCCGCCGCCGCCGCCGCGCCTCGATGGCGCCATCGCCCCGGCGCCGCTGACCGCCCGCGCCGCCGCCTCGGCCGGGGAGCGGCCTGCGGCGGAAGCCTGCCCGCGCCCTCCCGCCCGGCCCCGCCATGGCGCTGCGGCGCCTCCTGCTGCTGCCGCTGCTGCTCTCGCTGGAGCCCCTGCACCTGCCGCCCGGCGCCCGCGCCGCCCGCGGCCGCGCCGCCAACCGGACCCTGAGCGCCGGCGCCGCTGCCGTCGGGGGCCGGCGGCCCGGGGGCGCCCTGGCCCGGGGCGGCCGCGAGCTGAACGGCACGGCCGCCCGGGCGCCCGGCGGCGCGGAGGCGGGGGGCCGGCGGGGGCAGCCCGCGGCGGCGGCGGCGGCGGCGGCGGCCGTCACCTACGAGACGTGCTGGGGCTACTACGACGTGAGCGGCCAGTACGACAAGGAGTTCGAGTGCAACAACAGCGAGAGCGGCTACCTGTACTGCTGTGGCACCTGCTACTACCGCTTCTGCTGCAAGAAGCGCCACGAGAAGCTGGACCAGCGCCAGTGCACCAACTACCAGAGCCCCGTGTGGGTGCAGACGCCCAGCACCAAGGTGGTGTCGCCGGGGCCCGAGAACAAGTACGACCCGGAGAAGGACAAGACCAACTTCACGGTCTACATCACCTGCGGGGTCGTCGCCTTCGTCATCGTGGCCGGTGTTTTTGCCAAGGTCTCCTATGACAAGGCCCACCGCCCTCCGCGGGAGATGAACATCCACAGGTGAGAGCGAGTGCGCGCGCGGCCGCGCGGTGCCGGTCCCCGGGCCCCCGGCCTCCCGCCGAGCCTCCCGCCGCCGAGCCTCCCGCCGCCGAGCCTCCCGCCGAGCCTCGCCCCTCCTAACGTGCGTCCCGGGTCCTCAGCACCAACCACATCGCTCTAACTCTCTGAGACCGGTTTCTCCCTGGCTTCCTTGACATGCAGATAAATCACAGCTTTCTTATTCCCACCATTTCTTCAGAGTCCAGAACGCGTGCTTTGGTGGTAGGGGGATTACGGGGCAAAGTAAGGATCAGTGGAGTCCATGAAGTTTGAGCCTAGGAGTTTTACAAATAATATAACCCTGGATGGGAGGGGGCGGGGGGGGTGGAGGGTGGGGTCCCGGGTTCAGTTTTCAGGGCAAGTGGGCACTCTGGCGGTAGGCTCCTCTTGCCTTTGGTTTTCTGAGTCTAACCAGCACATCCTCTTCGGTCTAGGATATTGAACAATGTTGGAACCTTCCAGGAGGGAGTAGCAAGTTATTTAGTATAAGCTGCGTGTTCCCTGTGTGGGACTGGGGGCGGTATGGAAGGGATGCCTCCCGGGTAAGAAGGGGTAAAGATTTCTCCATTCCATGTTGACCAAAGGCAGATGGTGTCTCTACACTGCCTCTTGCCCAAGCGGGATGCTTATTTTCCTGCCGAGACTGGAGGACTTGGTCTTTCAAACCCTGTTGGCAGAACGCTCTGAGTTAACGTTCTTGCTGTGTTAAGCCCAGTGGGCAGCTTTTACTGCTTACACTGGGGGTGGGTGGGTGGTGGTGGGGTAGCCTCCTCCCAAAACTTATGCCAAGAGCTCAAAATATGGCAGTGCTTGGCCCCACCCTGACCGCCACCCACCCCACCCACCCTGGCTCCCAGGGAGTCCTTAGGGAAGTCAGAGCCCAGAGAACAGGAAACCAGACTCTTCACAAGGCAGGGACCGATGCACCCAGGGGAGGCAAAGTTAGCTCAGCTTCCAGTCCCCTCGTGATGATGAACGGCTGGATTTGGTTCAGCAGAGTCTTCCAGGGAACAAATCCTGCCCCAGGACATGCCTCCATTTTTGGCACATGGTGTTAGCACTGTCCCGGTAACCAGGACCCCCTCCCCCCGACCAGTCCTGCTTCTGAGTGTGCCAAGCAGGCCCCCACCCTGAACCACACAGCTTAAGCTCATTTCTATTCTTTCGGCCTGAAAGCCTTCTTCCCTTGCTGCTGTGGACATTAATCAGCCGGACCCTGATGAAGAGAAAGGCAGATAGAAATTTCTGGGCATGATTTTTTTTTTTTTCCCCTTCCTTTGAAGGTGTTGAGAAAAGATGATACTCTCTGGCAGGTTTTATTGAGTCAAACGCAGGACGTGTGGGTATTTCAATAGTGACATACATAGTTGGGTGTTAGAACTGGGTGCTTCCAAAAGCAGACCCGTGTATAATCCACACTCATCACCCTAAGGTGCCACCGTCCCCCAGTCCCCCCCATCTTTTTTTTTTTTTAAGATTTTATTTATTTGACACAGAGACACAGCAAGAGAGAGAGCACAAGCAGGGGGAGAGGGAGAAGCAGGCTCCCCTCTGAGCAGGGAGCCCGATGTGGGGCTCGATCCCAGGACCTGGGATCATGACCTGAGTGGAAGGCAGACGCTTAATGACGGAGCCACCCAGGCATCCCCCCGTCCCCCATCTTATCTTTTAGGTAGTGAGTCTGTGCCTGGCTGGTCCCTGGCACGGATGGAGGAATTGTGAGAAATGGGGTGCGGTCAGTCCATGTCTCCTTTGGGTCTGGTCTGGTGAAGGGTTCTCGCTCTTGGTTCACCCTGGAAAGCAGAGAAGGCATAGCCTGTGGGAAGGCACCTTCCAGAAGCAGATGTACCTGGTCCTTATCGTTCCTCTACCTACCTCCAGGGCCCAGAGTCTTGCTTCTCTTCACCTTCTCCTGGCCTCCTGGCCTCTTATCCCACCTTCCCCTGCTGGTTGATTCCCACCAACCTTTCTCTTGGTTTCTTTCTTCTCTGAGCCGCCCCCTACCCTGCCCTTGCCACCACCCTACTGAATGTATTCATCATCACCTGGGAGGATACTGATGATGGTCTTTGGATGCTGGCGCTGGCCTCTGTTCTACTGGTTTGTGACCCTGGACATGTCACTGTCCCTCTGGGTGTTTTCTCCCCTCCTCATCACCTCGAGCCCTCCCCCGACCCCAGACTAGGGTGACTCGTTTGAGTACAGGTATGTGGCTCAGGGACTGGTGATGGTGTTGGAGCAGTTTCTCTCTGGGGTCGGGGAAGGAAGGTAACTGTGGAAGGGAGCTGAGTCCAGCCTCAGACCATGATGTCAACATGGGATGTTTCTCCCTCAAATTCACCTCCTGATTTTATTCAGTTCACAGATTCTCTGCTGGCAGCTGCAGTTTCGCCTGCTGGGTGCTTTGGAAACCGACATACTGGTGCCTTTTTGGTGGGGGGGAGTGCCTGTCTCTGTGTTTGGGGGAAGGGGACAGAGCATGAGCCATCCTTCGAGGACACTCCATGAGCGACCTTGGGCAGGGGGTGGGGGGGAGGTGGAACTCAGCGTCCAGTTCTGGGTGCCTCGGGCACAACAGCATCCCACCTCGACCTCTCCCCTCCCCGGGGCGGGTCAGGCTGAGCGTGCACATGGCAGGGAGCTGCTCCCCGACTCCTGGGCGCGTTCCCACGACGCATCTCAATTCTCTCACACTTCACAGGTCACCGCTTGCCATTCCGGTGGGTGGGGAGGGGGTTCCGTGCAGAGGGTCTCTTTGGGAACCGGAGTAGGGAAAAGGGAAGAGAGAACTAGTCCCACCTCATGAGTTTGCCTTAGGGAGAGTGGGGAGGAGGAAAGGGTGCACCCTCGCCAGGGGTCAGTGGAAGAAGTGGGCTGTGTGTATGGTGCCAATATGCCTTGAAATAGTTCAGCAGAGACATTTCCTTTCTGGAAAGGCGAAGGATTTATTCCAGCGAGCGATCCTGTCTCCAAAGATGGGAGCTGGGCAGGCAGGGGCTGGGTCCGAGGGAGGAGAACGGCCTCATCGGAAGGGATGTTTGTGGGAGGGTTAGGAAGGGGTCGAGGGGAGGCTTCTGCCCTGAGATCAGCCATCTGCCTCCTCCTTGTGTCCCCAGGCTAGCCAGCCCTCCGCTTGCCCGTGGTACACATTCCTTAGAGCCCAGCTTCCTTTCAGGGCTCCGGCCCCCGCAGGGAAGAACAGGTTTAGTCTTTTCCAGAAGTGATTAGACCTTCTTGCCATCTTGTTTCTGTGTGAGAAGTCAGTGTCTGTCGGGGAAACTCTCAGCTCTCTGGTGACGTGAACAGAGGATCAGTCACACTCGGCTGGACCCCAGGGAGCAGGAAGAGATGGACAGCCCGAGGGACCAAAGGTTGAGCTGTGCTCTGGATCTGGGGAGCCACTGGACTTGGGGTGCCCACCTTTCCCTGCCGGGGCTCTGTTTCCCACCCGGATCGCTACCTCATTTCTCCTATTCACCTTCCCCGGACTGAAGCTCAAGCTGATAACCTGCAGGCATGCCCCAAGTTTAATGCTTCCTGAGCCTGAGCCGTTCCTGCATTGCTTCCTGGGGCTGTTTATTCGCCAGGGCTGCGATGTTCTCCCCGGGGGGCAGGGGCTTCGGCCCAGGAAATGGGGCCCTAGGAGCTGTCTCACATTCAAACCTGTTCCCTCCTCCTCACCTGGAGGTGATTCATTAGTGTCCTGGAGATGAGACTCTCCAAGCGAGAAACTCTGGCTTTTTTTTTTTTTTTAGTGGCTACTTAGCAGCCGGGGCAGGAAGCTGTTAGGGTGCTCTGGATGTAGTTGGTGGAGGCAGGGCTGCCTTGGGTCCCCCCACTCTAGAGGGATGGAGGGGATGGAGGAATTTGGGGTGGGGGTTCATGCTCAGGGTTGCGGGCAGAAGAACCTGAGCCAGATGCGGCCGGGAAAGAGGAGAGGTGTCAGGAAGCGACCCGACAGCCATCAGGGGGGTCCTTTGTCTTTGGACTCCTCCTCAGCTTGTTTCTAGAGGAATCAAGAGAACACTCTGTTCCACCTTTTCTCCCTCTAGAAATCCATGGCAAACCCAAAGAGGCCTGTTATGGGCTGCCTGACTACATCGCTGCAATAACAGGACCCCTTTGCTGGCTGATTCCGCGAATTCTCTTCCTGGATTCGCAGGCTATGAATTGTCACCGCATCCCCAAACACTCCCATTTCTTAGAGCACTGCGAGCTCACTATAATGAATTGATCTAAACAGAGAGTCAACTTGTTTTTTACTTCAAATAGAGCAGTTGGAAGGACAGGGGAAAAAAAAAAATCTTGCCTTGGACTGAAGGTCTGAGCCTTGCTTGTTTTCTGTTGCTTTGGAGGGAAGAAAAATGCATGCAGGGAAAGCAGGGAAATTGTAGAAGAATTTAAGGAGGCTTATGGAAGAGGGGTTAGGGAAGGACACCAGGAAGACAGGAAGAGGCAAAAATGGCTAAAGGAGGGAGGCAATGGGGTGAGAAGCGGATGCGGTGCCTGGGTCCTGGGCTACACGCAAATGCCTTCGATTCCACAGAGGAGCCCCGCTCACCTGCTGGGGGGCGAGATATGTCTCAAGCCATATAACGTAAGCCTCTAAGGTGGGGATTACCTTGGACACATAAGGCCGGCAGAGTTCATTCTTGATTGAGCAGGTCAGCTGTGCAAACTGCTTTTCCAGAATCTGGCACGTTGACAGTTCTGTCTGGTCTGTTGCTTTACTGTCTTCTTGTCCTCTTGCACCCCACCCCAGCCCAGAAGGCAGACACATGTGTCTTCCTTCCCCACCCACAGCCGCACCCCAGGCTCCGAGCACGTTCCTCGGGAGGAATCTGCTGCTAAGATAATAAGAGTTCGCCCACAGTTGCTAGATTGCCAAGACCCAGGTGGAGGAAAAGTCCAATTCACTGTTTTCAACCTATTTTAATGAGAGATCAGATTGATTTGGCAGT